TTTGTAGGCTTGTTTTTGTATGCTTTGTGTGTGTTCTTTGTGTTTATCTTTGGATGTTATTGATGTCCTTGTAGTGGAGTTAATATTAATAGGAGCACATACTAGGGAGAAAACTATAGTTTTGCTCTCATTTTTCAAAGCCAAAGCTTCATCATAAACTACAGATTTGAATCTTGAGTTCTTCCTCAAGTAAAATTTGATTTATATGTTCTTTTGTACTCATTTGGTGATCAAGTTATATCTATGTATGCAAGTTGTAGGTGAATATGCTGCTCTTTTCCCCTTTTTCGATAATTCTTCGTCTTCGTTGAGATGTTCTTTGACATGTTTGTGGTCTGCAATTGGTGGAGTTAATGATTACTTGTATATACATGGTTACCTATGTAGTGAGTTTTGTTTGTATATGTTTTATGTTTTATCAATCATTGTGTTTGAATTTTCATGTATATAGTTTATCCGTGTTTAAAAATCTATATCAGTGTGTGGTATATATTTTTCTTTTATCAATGATTTTTTGTGTGTTTGTTTTCATATCTACACTTCGTGGGTCTTACTCTGCGGTTTATTGTTGTATAGTGTATGTACATATCTTTTAGTGTGTTATGGTATTTGCTTTTATGTGAAACAATGTGTTTTTATTACGTGTTTCTCTGTGTGTATTGTGTATTTTTCTTTTGTCAATGTATTTGTACACTTTGTGTGTGTTTTTTTGTGTATTAGTGTGCCGTGTGTTTTTCTTCTATCAATGCACTTTTTATGTGAAAGTGTATTTTTTTGTGTATTAATGTGTTTTTTTGTATATTAGTGATTTGTGTATTTTTTTTCTATCAATGCATCTTTTGGTGTGTTATGGTATGTGCTTTTTATGTTAAACAGTTTATTTTTTGTGTATTAATATGTGTTTTTATTAGGTGTATCCCTGTGTTACTGTGTACTTTTTTTTATCAATGTATTTGTACATTGTGTGTGTTTTTCTATGTATTAGTGCATTGTATATTTTTCTTCTATCAATGCATCTTTGTAGGCTTGTTTTGTATGCTTTGTGTTTATCATTGGATGTTATTTATGTCCTTGTAGTGGAGTTAATATTAATAGGAGCACGGAGTAGGGAGAAAACCATAATTTTGCTCTCATTTTTTTCAGCCAAATCTATATCATAAATTATAGATTTGAATTTTGAGTTCTTCCGCAAGTAAAATTTATTTATGCGTTCTTTTCTATTCTTTTGGTGATCAATTTATATCAGCATATGCAAGTTATTGGTGAATATTCTGCCCTTTTCCTCTTTTTCAATGATTATTTTTCTTTTTTGTTGAGATATTCTTTGACATGTTTGTGGTCTACAATTGGCGGAGTTAATGATTATTTGTACATACATGATTACCTAGGTAGTGAGTTTTGTGTTTATATGTTTTATCAATGATTGTGTTTGTATTTTCATGTGTATAGTTTGACCGTGTTTAAAAATGTGTATCAGTGTATGGTATATATTTTTCTTTTATTAATGATTTTTTGTGATATGTTTTACTATGTGGTGTATCGTTGTATAGTATGTGTATATCTTTTGGTGTGTTATGGGATATGCTTTTTATGTGAAATAGTGTGTTTTTGTTATGTGTATCTCTGTGTATATTATGTACTCTTCCTTTATCAATGTATTTGTACACTTTGTGTTTTTTTTGTGTATTAGTGTGCTATGCATTTTTGTTAGATCAATGCATCTTTGTAGGCTTGTTTTGTGTGGCTTGTGTGTGTGTGTGTGCATGTGTTTATCATTGGAGGTTATTCATGTCCTTGTAGTGGAGTTAGTAGGAGCATACGGGGGAGAGAACCATAATCTTGCTCTCGTTTTTCCCCAGCCACATCTATATCAGAAACTGTAGATTTGAATTTTCAGTTCTCCAGCAAGTAAAATTTGATTAATATGTTCTTTTGTAGTTTTTTTGGTGGTCAATTTTATATCAACATATGGACAAGTTTTTTATATATATGTCGATGAAGATGGTGACGCGCCCATGTTTCTTGTAGTGATGTAATTCATTTGATAAGCAATTGTTGATATACAATTTTTGTCTTGTGTTCGGAGTAATTATTGTCACGGGATAGACTGGTCATTATTCCTTCAGCATCTAGAGCTAGTGTTTTCACGCCAAATAATCAGAGTAATTGGGATGCTATACTCTCTTCGTTAATATGTTTTTGTGAGAATAAGGCTTGTGCATTACCTGGAGATGCGAGCATCTAGGGCCTTTCCTGTTTGAGGAGTTTTAAGACCAAAGTAAGAACAAGGGGGGTTTGAGCGAGTTTGTTCCGGTCGACCGTCCACTTCATCAAGGAGGTGTTACGAGGGAAGGTCCCATGGAGATTTAGCCACGGTGAGATCCCCTCGTTCTTGCTAAGGAACGCATCATGAAGAAGTCCCGACGAGCTACCTTGGGAAAGTCTAGTGATGTTGGGCCTGCTAGCACCTCTCACTTTGGTTGTCTAACACATAGAACCTGGTCGCGGAGGCCAATTCCAGCGCAATCCCTCATCCCT